GGCTGACTCGCCATCTAAAAAGGTGCACCCAGGCACAGTACAGAAAGAGCAAATGAGAAGAACAAGACCTTGTTTATTTTTTTAGCAGGTCTCATTATCTAAGAGACACCAAATGACGAATTAATATTTGTTTTAATTCCTAAAAGAAGTTTCAAAACCACTTTATATACTACACTCCTACACACGTAAGGTCTAAACCAATGTTTTTCAGAGTGGTCTTTGAGTACCTGTATCTAATTGATAAGAAAGGCTTCTCAGAACTCTCTCCAGATTCTGATTCAAAAGAGAGAACTGGACCCATGGAATCTGCATTTTTAACTCCCCAGGTCATTTTTATGCTCAAAATTTGGAAGTAGCTAGAAATTTTCACTTCAAGTATGAGAACCTTGAACACAAAAGATCATGATTATGCCTGGTCTTACAGCATTGAAATAATAGCTACTAGAACATAAACAATCCATAAAGCACAGTGGCTAAAAGCAGATGCTACAAAGCTAGATAGAATTCCTTAGTTTACAGTTCTATTCCACCATTCACTAGCAACTTGACACTGGGCAAATGTGCCCCAGTTTTTTCATCTGTAAAATGAAATACTACCACCTACCTCAGAGCTATCTGTAAAATGAAATACTACCACCTACCTCAAAGCTCTCAGAAGAGCACCTGAAAAAAATTTTCATTAAAAAAAAAAAAAAATTTTAGAGTGCCTGATCCGTGCAAACACCCAAAATACAATATAGAATCCTTGTGACCAATGACCGCGAACAGCTGGCTATATTATATGACTGTGATTCTTATTTGCTGAATCTCTGGAATTTGCATCCATATCCAATAATGTAGTACAAAACCATGAAGCAACTAATGCTTTGCATTGCTTAAAAATCAGGAAAAAAAAATTTTAGAGTGCCTGATCCGTGCAAACACCCAAAATACAATATAGAATCCTTGTGACCAATGACCGCGAACAGCTGGCTATATTATATGACTGTGATTCTTATTTGCTGAATCTCTGGAATTTGCATCCATATCCAATAATGTAGTACAAAACCATGAAGCAACTAATGCTTTGCATTGCTTAAAAATCAGGTGCTTCTCAAATAAAACACAAACCAGGTAACTGGCTCTAAAAATGGTATCAGTTAAGAGCAAATAACCTGTTTCCCAAATCTCTTTCAAGAGGCTAGGAAAAGACAAAAACGTTGAAAACTCTCAAACTTTTCATAGCAAAATAGGGCTCTATTTAATCATCCAAATCATAAACGTTATAAGTAAAGCAAATGAGTGGTAGGACTGGGGTACAAGACCACCCAATGAACACCTCACACTCATCATACCACTTTCTCTCACTCATAATCTGCATTTAAAACAAGTTGATAGCCTGAAATAGGAATTTGGCTACAACGGCAAGTCTAAGCATATGTAAAATGTCACTATATTATAAGGTTCATTAAATTAGACTATAAGGACAGTGGATACTTTCAACAGTAGCAATGACTGCTAGAAAGACGATCTGAACTGAAGACCTATAATGGGGAGAAAATATTTGGACTAGATGTGAACACAGAAAAAAAAAAATCTTAATAATAAAATGGAGAAATCGATTCTCTGGCAAGAGCATGTGAAACTCCCAAGAAGAAATTCAGAAAAATGTCTTTTCCCTCAAAAAGAAAAAGCCTTAATGCCCAGAATGCCACAGCGCTGAAATCGTTGAATAAAAGCAAATAGATGCAAAGAAAACAGAAGCGGTATCTGGGTGAGAGATGACCCGAATTCTCACGGGAAGAAAAGCAGCCAAAGCTTAGTGCATAGAACATGGAATCCAGTTTAGGGCCTGCAGCTACTCAGGAGGCAGTTAACCATTTTTCCAGGAATCTTGAAATCTCCAGATAAAAAAGATTTAATGTCTTAGCATATTTTGGAAATCCACGGAAAACAGACATTGAGAATTTAATGAATTTGAGGGGAGGGGAGGCAGTGGAAATGACTCAAAAGAAGCCTTCTCCAGGATAAAATCATGCGACTCTCGGGCAAAGAATGCCTGCGGAGCTAAGGAGAGAGGAAGGGTTTGGAAAAGGGCCCTCCACTCCAACAACCAGGTAGCGCGGACAATGCGCCCCGGGGGTCGGGCGGGGGCCGAACTCCGAAGCCACCGCGTTTAGGCGATCCCAGGCCTCCAATCCAGTGTCTGCTCACGCACCAACCTGGGACCACCGTGAGAGGGCACTGTCCCCGCGCGAGCGCGCGGGAAAAAAAGGCGGCCGGGCCGGAAGGGGGCAGGGCGAATCGCGAGGGCGCCCCGCCGGGCACTTACGGGGCCGCTTCTTCTTGAGGCTTTCCACGCGCTGGCGGGAGACCGAGGTAGGTCCGCTGTAGGAGCCGGGCCGGTCCCGCCTTACGCCCTCCGCCGAGGCCCCGACCGCAGGTG